ATAAATTCTTTCTCTTAGCTATCCCTTGACATTGCTTATAACACTACCACAACAATTAACTATGCCTGGTACTTTTTTTTTTTTTTTTTGAGATACGGTCTCACTATGTAACCCTGGCTGACTTGGAACTAGCTATGTAGACCAGATTGGCTTTGAACTCACAAGTGCTGAAATTAAAGGTGCGTGCCAGTCTGGTACTTAATAGGTGTTTTATATGATTTAACTTCCTTAAATGAAGAGTCAATAATATAGTAGTAATTGGTTTTTTTTTTTTTTTTTTTTTTGGTCTTTTTGAGTCAGGGTCTCCCTGTAATAGGGCTGGCCTGGAGCTCACTAAGTAGACCAGGCTGGCCTTGAACTCACAGATATCCTCTTGCCTCTGCCTCCCAATTGCTGGGATTAAAGGCATGAGCCACCACGCCTGGCCTTAATTGTATCATTTTTGAGATGGGATCTCAATCTGTAGGCCAGACTAGCTTGAATTTAATATGTAAATTGGCTTTGAACATTAGATGCTCTACCAGGGCCTGTCTCCTGAGGGTTGGGATTACAGGCCTGTGCCACCACACCCAGTTGTCCATAGATTTTTGAGGCCAGGTCTTATGTATCCCAGGCTGCTTCCACCTCCTAAATGCTGAGATTATCAGGCTAAAGATTTTATCAGGACTAGAGAGATGGCTCAGTGCTCTTGAAGAGAACCTGAGTTCAGTTCCCAGCACACATGCTGGGCAGCCAACAAATGCCTGTAACTCCAGCTCCAAGAGACTCTTCTGGCTTTCATGGGCACCCATGCACATACATGGCATTTGCTCACATGGACACATAAAAATAATAAAAATAAAAAAGGATTTTATCTTAATTTTTCTTTATGTTAAACAGGATGTTATATAGCTAAAAGTTTCCTTGACCTTCTGATCCTCCTGACTCCACTGTCAGAGTACTGGGATTATAGGCATGTGCCAGTATGGTCTGCTTTATGTGGTGCTGGGGATTACATCCAGGACTTTATTTTGCACACTAGGCAAGCACTCTACCAACTGAGCCACATACTCTGCCCACTGTTCAGGACCTTCTACCAAACACCTGTGTATAAGTCAATTATTATTTAGAAAATCTTTATAATTGTATAATTCTTTAGCTGGGCATAGAGGTACATGTCTTTAATCCCAGCACTAGGGAAGAGGTAGGCAGATCTCTGTAAATTCAAAGTCAGCCTGGTCTACATTGCAAGTCCCAGGACAGCCAGGGCTACATGTGAGACCCTGTCTCAAAAATCTAAAAAAAGGGTCTGGAGAGATAGGGTCTGGAGAGATGGCTCAGCAGTTAAGAGCACTGACTGCTCTTGCAAAGGACCCAGGTTCAATTCCCAGCACCCACATGATAGCTAACAACTGTCCATAACTCCAGTTCCAGGGGCTCCAATGCTCTTTAACCTCCGTGGGCATTGCACGACATGGACGTGCTTTCATACATAAATGTAATACACTCATACGTATAAAAAAATTAAAATTAAAAAAAAATAAAACTACCACCACCACCAAAAAAAAAAAAAAAAGAAAAACAACAAAAGAGAACAAACAATGTGTAGGATTCCTACAAAAGCAAGTCAGACTTTTAGTCTCACACTTAAGCCCCCAGTCAAGTATTCACTGTCAGCTGTGCCCTCCTTTTCTACAATAGTTTACAGTTTCATTTCAGATATTTGAGAATGTACTGTTAGACATTAGAAATGCAATGATGGGGCTGGAGAGATGGCTTGGTGGTTAAGAACACTGGTTGTTCTTGCAGAAGACCTGGGTTCAAATCCCAGCACCCACATGGCAGCTAACAACTGTCTGTAACTCCAATCCTAGGGGATCCGACAGCCTCTTCTGACCTCCAAGGGCATTGCACACGGGTGCACATACTTACATGCAGGCAATACACACATACACATAAAATAAAAATAATAAATTTAAAAAAAGAAAAAAAAAGATGATATCATTGAATGCAATGATAATAAAAACAGTCCTGGGTCAGGTGTGCCGGCACACACCTATAATCCCAGCACTTGGGAAGTAGAGGCAGGAGGAGCAGAGAAAGTTGCTGACCTACATATGGAGTTCCAGTTCCAAGCCAGCTGAGGTTACACATCAAGATCCTGTCTCCAACCTACCAACCAACCAACCAACCAGTCAACCAACCAACCAACCAACCAGTTTTGGGGCTCAAGGAACTCATGGTCTAAGGAGGGGTGGTTGAGAGTAAACAAGCATAATGTAACAAATGCCATTATAAAAGTAAGTGTGGCAGCTAAAGAAAGAAAGGATTCTGGGGCTGGGAAGACTGCACAGTCAGTGAGTGTAAACATGAGGACCCAAGCTCAATCCCAGTGCTGGGAAGGCAAAGACAGATGGATCTCTGGGGCTCACAGCCTAGCAGAATCAGCGAGCTCCAGCCAAAGAGACCCTGCTCAAAAAAACGAGGACCCATGGGTACATACATAGGAACACAAACACACAAAAGATGAGTACCTAAATTATGTTTGAGGGTAAGGGGAATGGTAAGGGAAGGCTTCCAAGAGAGGATACTATTTTTTTTATTATATTGCTTTTATTTTATTATGTATATGACTGCATATGTATGTAAATACACCCATGTTGTAAATGCCCATATAGGACAGAAGAGGGTGTTGGATCCCCTGGAACTGGAGTTACAAATGGTTGCTAGTCATGTGAGTGCTGGGAACGGACCCCAGATCCTCTGCAAGAGTAGCCATTACGCTTAACTGCTGAGGATGCTATTAAAGAAATCCAAAAGATGCTGGGCCTGGTGGCGCATGCCTTTAATCCCAGCACTAGGAAGGTAGAGGCAGGTGGATCTCAGTGAGTTCAAGGCCAGCCTGGTCTACAGAGTGAGTTCCAGGACAGCTGGGGCTACAGGGAGACCCTGTCTCAAAAAGACCAAAAAAAAAAAAAAAACCCAAAAAAACAAACAAAAAAAGAAATCCAAAAGATAAAAGGAGCTGGGTGTGATGGCACAAGCCTTTAATCCCAGCACTAGGAAGGTAGAGGCAGGTGGATCTCTGTGAGTTGATCCCTAGAACTTGCTGGCCAGCTGTCTAGCTGCCTGGTAAGTTCTAGGCCAGTGGGAGACCTTGAAAAAAAAAAAAAAAAAAAAAAAAAAAGATAAAGGAAACTGATCAGGGAGAGGGTTAGTATGGATTGAAAACACAGTCAAGCTAGGAACTCTGAATTCCTGAGCTGACTATGATTGAGGTCTCACCCACTTAGCTCCACACTAGCATGTAACCAAGAGTGTCACTATCATAGGTAAAATGAAAATTCTGTGACACATCTTTCTGGCTGGATGTTTCCTGACAGGTATCATTAGTTTTCCCCAGTGCCATCTTATGGCAGTGTCTAAGTCAAATTTCAAAAGAGCAACTCTAGATGTATGAAGTAAATTGCAATTATCTTCAGAAACAGAAAGGTACAAAAGGCTCACTGCTATACAGCACAATTAACAATGACACAAATTGGCATGTCAGATTTGTTCTAAGTTTTATTTATTTATTTTTTTGGTCTTTTTGAGACAGGGTCTCCCTGTAGCCCCAGCTGCCCTGGAACTCATTCTGTAGCCCAGACTGGCCTTGAACTCAGAGATCCGCCTGCCTCTGCCTCCCAAGTGCTGGGATTAAAGGGTTGCACCACCTCACCCAGCAGTTTAACTAATTTATAACACTAATGTTTGTTTACCGAAGTCTAAGCAAACATGTACAAAAATTGGAATTGCTAATTTGGTCATACACTTTTTTGGCTTGGAGGGCACGGTTCTCACTCTGTAGTGCATGCCAGCCTTGAAACTGCTGGCAAGCCTCCTGGCACTGCCTCCTAATCCTTAGTACTAAGATTAGAGGTGTGCACCACCAGGCCTGCTATACTCATGAGCTTTATTACTTTTTTTTTTTTTTTTTGGGGGTCTTTTTGAGCTGTCCTGGAACTCACTATGTAGACTAGACTGGCCTTGAAATCACAGAGATCCGCCTGCCTCTGCCTCCAGAGTGCTGGGATTAAAGGCATGCAACACCATGCCGGGCCCAATCTTTATTACTTTTATGTGTATGAGTGTATTGCCTGCATGTGTAAGTGCACCCGTGTCTTGCAATGCCCACAGAGGTCAAAAGAGGGCTCTCCATTCCCCTGGATCTGGAGTTACCTGTCATGTGGGTGTTGGGAATCGAACCCGGGTCCTCAAGAGCAGTCAGTGCTCTTAACCAGTGAGTCATCTCTCTAGCCCTACAACTCATAATTTTTTAAATATTAAGGGCTGGGGTATAGCTCAGTGGTAGAGCAACAGACTATCCTGTCTGAGGCCCTAAATTCAATCCTTAGCACCATTAAAAAAATAAAAATTAGGGGCTGGAGAGATTAGGAGTGGGATGGTTAAGAGCACTGACTGCTCTTGCAGAGGACCCGGGTTCAATTCCCAGCACCTACATGGCAGCTACGAACCATCTTTAACTCCAGTTCCAGGGGAATCCAAAGCCCTCTTCTGACCGCCACAGCATTGGACCACACAGGTGTGCTCACATAGATGCAGGCAAGACACTCCTACACATAAAATAAAAATAATAAAGCCGAGCGTGGTGGTGCAAGCCTTTGATCCCAGCACTCAGGAGACAGAGGCAGGCGGATCTTTGGGAGTTCAAGGCTAGCCTGGTCTACATAGTGAGTTCCAGGACAGCTGGGGCTACAGAGAGACCCTGTCTCAAAAAAGACAAAAAAATAAATAAAAATTATAAAAAAGAAATATTACTCCCAACATGTGTCTTCTTCTGCCACATTTACAGGATAAGACACCTTCTAGGAGTTGAAAGCAGAGGCAAAGCCCAAACACATTGTCTACTTGAGTTTATTCTTTTTTAAAAAAAAAAAAAAAAAAAAGACTACCATCCTCAGGCCTTCTAAGAGTGTAAAAGAAGGGGAAAAGCCAAAACACTTTTCTGTTTGGGTTTTTTTTTTTTTAAAAAAAAAAAAAAAAAAAAAAAGACAAGGTTCAGGATGGACAGGGAAATAACTCATAAACACTGTGAACAGGAACCAAGACTCCAAGACTTGGGCGTACTCCCTAGACCCTCAACGTCAGTTCTCATCTCCCCTATCCCCGATTTTCTTTTAAAAACAAGACACCCAAATCAGCAGCAAAGGTACCTAGGGTAGTCACCGAAGTTTTGAACACTGGGAATGGGAGGGGAAAAGTCCAAAAATAGGGGAATTGGGAAGAGTGGGGAAGGAATGAAGGAGAGACTAGGCTCTGGAGGACGGAGTTAGGCTGCAAGAGGTGTGAGTGAGCCTGTATGGGGTATCCCTCCTGACCACGGCTGCCCACACACCCCTGGACCCCAGAGCACCCCATGGTTTATCTGCAGTCCATTCCCTTCTCCCAAAGGCTTCACAGGCCCAGCTCCAAGTCCTCTAGCTCCTCCTCCAGAGCCCTCCTCCGGGCTAGCTTCTCCAGCTGCTCCTTGCTGGGCTGGCGGACCTCCCCAGCCTGGATTCGCTGCTGCAGCTCTTCCACCTGCCGAAGCTTCTTCTTTAGGTTCTTTATCTTCTTGGCTCTCTCTGTGGTGGCAGCTGAGTCAGGTGGGTCAGAGGTGGCTATGGGGGCTGCCTGGGAGCCTTGGAGAGCACTGGGGGTTTGGGCTGTGTCTACTAGAGACACCTTATCAAGAGTCCGGCTCAAAGCCTCAGCCTCGCCTTTCTCCTGTTGCTGCCGCCTCTTCTCCTTGCGTTTCAGGTTTCGTTTGGCAGTCTTGGAAAGGCCAGGTTCACCACCTTCAGGTCTGGATGGGGTGATGGGTGTGGTAGCCTCAGGGCTCAGCCCTGGGGGTAGTTCTGGTTTACTCTTGAAAAACTTTACATACTTGTTTTCATACCTGCAGGAAACAAAATATTCAAGTTTTCAGGAATCCCAGACTTTGATCTTTCTCTTAACCTCCCAATCACATCCTTCTCACTGCATGCTTACTTCCCTCTGCTCTTCAGGAAGGTCTCCAGAACCCAGAGCTCTGGCCTCTGATTGCTATTTGGGGTTCTGATGATTAGAATTCACAGGAACAAGATTAGTAATATGAACACTCACTTGCCCCTCAACCCCAGCCCCTTCTTCCCGTTTCTGAGACAGCTGTGCCTCTCTCTATTCCTTGGGGCTCAGACAAGTCATCCCTGAACTCATGGAAACACATACGCTATACCTGTGCAGGGACCCATTAAAAAAAAACCCTCATCGCTGAGGGTGGTGCTGCACGCCTTTAATCTCAGTACTTGGGAGGCAGAGGCAGGTGGATCTCTGAGTTCAAGGCCAGCCTGGTCTACATAGTGAGTTCCAGGCCAGCAGGGGTACAGGGAGACCCTGTCTCAAAAAGACCAAAAACTAAACAAACAAACAAAAACCCTCATCAAGCCTAACCACGCACACTGGGACCTCTTCTTGGGGCACGTAGCCTTCTTTGACCTTCCGCTGCTTGCGCCAGGTCCCGTCAGGTCTCTGTGTTGAGGCAATGTACTTGCCTGAAATGAGAGAAATTGAAAGTATAGTTAGGCTTTCTTGTTTTCAAACATTTTCCAAAAGAAGCATGTGTAAACGTGCACAGCTCTTCTAGCACCATCTGTCTACCTAATGCAAATCACTTAGGCATCATTTCTTGCTTTTGCTTTTCTGAGACAAGGTCTCACTATGTAGCCCTGGCTGGCCTGGGTCTGGAACTCACGATGTACACCTAGCTGGCTTTCACCTCCTGAATACCAAGATTACAGGTGGATGCGACCACACACTGAGCTAAGACATCATTTCTCATATCAACCTTCAATCCTGTTATTATTTACTAACACACTATCCTTACCCTCAAGAAACCTCTCTTTTTATCATTTTATGTAAGGCAGATCAGGCAGAAAAGAAGACTTTTTAAAAAAATACAAAGCAAGCAGCACACACCTTTAATCTTAGCACTTGGGAGGCAGAGGCAGGCGGTTCTCTGTGAGTTAAAGGCCAGCCTGCCTGGTCTACATAGTGAGTCCCAGGACAGCTGGGGCTACAGGGAGACCCTGTCTCAAAAAGACCAAAAACAAAACAAAAACCAAGGCAATAGCAAGGAAACATCAAAAGCAATAAATGAACAAGAGACTATAAAAGGGGCAAAATCAACAGGGAAGGGGGATAAACGATCAGAGAAAATGCCATTGAGAAGGAGAAACTTCATTTGGATAGACTTTGAAAAATGACTGGCCGGGCATTGTGGCAAACATCTTTAATACCAGTACTGGGAGTAAGAGGTAAGTAGATCTCAGTGAGTTCAAGACCAGCCTGGTCTATATAGTGAGTTCCAGTCCAGCTGGGGCTACAGGGAGATCCTGTACAAAAATATAAAATAAAATAAAATTAATAAAATAATAATAATAATAATAATAATAATAATAATAATAATAGAAGAGCTGGAGAGATGGCTCAATGGTTAAGAGCACTGGCTGTTGTAGAGCAGCCAGGTTCAGGTCCCAGCACCCGTATGGCAGTCAACAACTGTCTAACTCCACTTCCAGTGGATTCAATGCCCTCTTTTGACCTATGGGGGCACTGCACAACAAGGATGCACTTACATACATGCAGGCAATATACTCATACACATAAAATAAAAATAATAAATATTTAAAGGGGCTAGAGAGATGACTTGGCAGTTAAGAGCACTGGTTGTTCTTGCAGAAGACCTGGGTTCAAATCCCAACCACCTACATGGTGACTACAACCATCTGTAACTCCAGTTCCAGGGGATATGATGCCCTCTTCTGACCTCTGAGGACATTGTAGAACACAGGTGTACTTAAACACATGCAGGCATAACACTCATACACATTAAATAATTTTTTTTTTTCCCAACAAGCCCCAGCTGGCCTGGAATTCACTATGGAGACCAGGCTGGCCTCAAACTCACAGAGACCCACCTGCCTCTGCCTCCCGAGTGCTGGGATTAAAGGTGTGCGCCACCACACCTGGCTAAGTAAATATTTTTT